CCCCAAAACCCCAAAACCCCACTATGGTGAATTTTTTACATTTTAGTGAGATTTTTAATTAAATTTGAAGAGGAATTGCTTTATATTATATGCAGAGACAATAGAATTTATCGATATCATAGTTTTAAAGCAATGGATTAAAATATCAAGGCTAATGCTTCTCCTAAAAAATAATAGCAAAATAATGTATCCATTTCATCTGATTCTTGATTATCTAACATAGACAATAAATAAAATAAGGAATAAGAAAACAAAGTGCAATAAATTTCAAAAAGAGTTTCGGAGTTTGGATTGGTTTGGGCAGACTGTAAGTTTGACTTATAAGGGGGATGACACTTACAAGACAAACTTCGGTGCAGCAATATCATTTATTTTGATAGTAATACTAAGTGGATTTGCTGGATACAAAGGAGCAGTACTCATCAACTAATCTTCCCCAGAAGCCACAAAGACTTCTCTCATCTAAGACTTGAAAAATGCTGGTGAATTCAAACCTTAAGATTACTATTTCGACTTTGCATTTTCTTTGAATAACTAGACTCTAGATCCATGATATGGATTTTTTACTTTAAATCAAATGAATTTTTACTTGAGCAATGAATTAAATAGCGATGGCTCAAGAATTCGGAAGAAGTCAGGTTTTCCATTAAAATTTTCAAAATGTTCTGATAAATTATTTAATTACACCAATACAAAAGAAATAATTGCTTACGGAATAAATGAATTCAGTTGTTTAACTGATCATGACTACGAACTTTAAGGTGGGTACTTCGATGATAATTACAAATACATAGAACTCAAATTATTTAAATGTAGAAACTTAACAGGCAATGAAAGTTGTTATTCACCAGAATAGATTGACAACTACTTCTAGGATGAAAAATTGAATTTTGCATTTACCAATACTTATCTAGATTATAAAGATACGCAAGTTAAGTCTAAAGTTAAGTTCTTTATAGATGATTCATTTTACATCGAATTAGAATCTTAAAAAACTAAGAAGTCAAATTTTTATATCTAGAGATAAGAGGCGTCTTATCAAGATGACTACATTTAGTTTGGATAAGAAAGAACAGAGCAGTTTTTTCAAGTCTAAAATATCCACAGGTTTGACGACAATTACTCAAATAAAATAGGCTAAATTGCAGCAATTTACTTCAGGTTCGATAATAGATATGATTTATTTTCAGTAAAAAATTACTCACTTCTCGATTTTTTGGGAGATATTGGAGGACTCTATGGATCACTCTGTGGTATTGGCTTTGCATTTGTTGGGTTTTTTTGTTCAAGAATGTTTACTTCTGATATATTAAAGAAAATATATTAGATCAGAAAAGATCCGATTTAGAAAGCCTAATCAGAATAAAAGGGTGGATTTTTAGCAAATATTAAACGAAGATTTACCTTAAGAGATCATCATTAGGAAGAAATGCACAAGAAATTGAGCCCAAAGTCGAAAACTGAATTTGAAAATATCTTTAGTTAGCAGAACTAACTCATTTCATTTAGAAGAAAATCTGATTAAACAAGCTTCAAAATTCAGGTGCTTAAAGCTTAGACAATCGATAACAGTGAGACACCTCTCAAGCATTTATAAAATCAAAATTAGATCCAAGTTAATCATAACTTGAACATTGATAATTCGAATTACTCCTAAATTTCAATAAATTAAAATCAAAATACACAAAGTATAAGAGCTAAAAAGATAAAGTCAGTTCATAAAAGAGAAGATAGTGTTCTATCTAACTTAACTTTACCTTAACTTAGAATAATCAAATCAGACAATCAAAATATAATTGATGCAAAGCTAAAGCCATCTTTGTTTTCCTCTGGTAATTCTCTAATGTCTCGGATTAAGCAAACAATCACTCAGAAGGTTAGAGAATAAATGATAGCAGTTGAGTTAAGAGAAAAATAATCGCTAGAAGAAGTAGATATAGATAATGTCTTGCTAGCTTTTATTCACAGAACTAGGTTTGTATATGGAATCAAACGAATGATTGAGTATGTAGTGAAGTGCTTGTGCTTCAAAAGGAAATAATGGCTGAGGAAAAATAAGTAGGGAAAGGTTCATTACTTATACAATAAAGCAGAAAAGAAACTGAAAAGTGAGCTAGATGTGATTTAACTTTTGAAATCTCTTAGAAAATTCAAACTTTTGCAGCAAGCCATACTCCCTCAGAAAAGTAGAATGCTTTTGCAATTTCAAAGATTCAACTTGATAGAAACAGAATCATCATCCTCCGATTCAGATGATGAAAAGATGTAAACTGTGCATTTGATGGAAAATAAGAATCCTTTTATTAGGCTGTTGATGTATGGTAAAGTCAAGAATATGATTTCGCAATTTTAAGACAAGCAACTAGAACCACTTGAACTTAATTTACTGAGGGGAGTATTCCAAAGAAGACTTAAAGATTTCTCTGAAAAAGTGAAAGAAATAAAAGAAAACAAATTGCTGATGTAGCGAGTTCATATTCAATTGGCCAGTGTCTCATCTCCAAAGCATTTTGAACTGTCAGAGTAAGATGCATTTGCCATGGCTTATGAAGATGGATTACTAAATGAAACTAGGCAAATTAGGGAAAGTATTACATCATTTAATGATAACAAACTAAAGCTAAGAGTCGAAACTATAGACTAAGAGAATGGACGAATATAAGAATACAATAGTATAAATATAGGAGTAAGTCTTAATGAATCGTAAATCGCTAATTTTTAAACTCAAGATTAATAAAATAAAAACAGTATCCAAGATAAGAGGAAAGACTCTAGATTTAATAATGAATTTGATTATGATGATTCGCTGTTGTGACACAAGAATTATTCAAAGTTTACATAAGCGAATTAAATAGATTATAATAAATGATAATAGTGATGAACTAAATCTAATAAATCTTAAAATAGCATATTAAATAGGCATGGGGTTTTGGGGTTTTGGGG